TAAGCTCGAGGGAACAACTTAATGAAATAATTATGCATGGATTCTACCTGTAGCTACAAGTGTGTTACCTCATCTGACGCTGCACTCCCCGCTATCTATGCAGTGCGCGATCAGTTGGAGAAGGAGGGACTTGTTTCTGTCACTTAAATTTGCTGAGACCGCAGCCGAGTTCTAGAGGGCGGTGTTCTAATCTGCTAACAAGAACTACCTAGCTGCCTACAGAGAGTTGCGACATGAGTGTCTTAATTGTTGGGAACCAAATGGTGGATTATGCGTCAGTGCACATTATTTACATGTACAACTACCACACAATAGTTGCATGGTACCTCACACATCATGAACGGCCATTTTGGTTCCAAAGTCTGAAGCTGACGTTAACTTCTCTATATACAGCTTTGCTTTTTAAGGACTAATAAGACAAAGGAATTTAACATAAAACGCCGAAAGTTAAGCTCTTCATATTTCAAGGATATCTTACTATAAAGTGCGAACACGGTAGAACATCAATCTCACCATCCGATTAGAATGGCCAATAAAATTCTGTCGTTTTAGACACCGACGAGCCACTGTCAGCGCGACAGTTTGTTTCTGCGAGGGAACGGCCGCAACGAGTCGCACCAAAGATTGATTTAACAATTGATAACAAGTTAGTCAGAACAGTGTGAGTTCATTACGTCATTATGCCGTGTGAACCCGTGAGATGTCCAAAAAATATTTTCTGTTCCCAGGAAAATGTGACCAAAAACCATTTCGTTCGGTCCTCAGAAATTTCAGAAGGTATTCAAACAATGACATCCAAATTTCGTCTTCATTGGCATGAAATTAGTAAACACAAAAGCGAAGATAAAGTAGTCTCTGTACCAGACCCAAACATAAAATTAATCTTTTTATACAATCGGTTTTCCTTTTCTCAAACATGTTTAATCGTATCATTCACCTGTAGCTGACTCGCTGACGGCGGCAATTTACCATCACAGCATAATTGACAGTGAAAACAAATAATAACAGTAAATTTAAAAAAATGAAGGAGCTAAAAACATCCAACAGAACTTTGTAGACGTGAAAAGGCCAATCTTCAAGTGTTTGTCCGTAGCGTCCTCGGCTCGATGGGTCCCTATGGACCGGGAAAACACGAAAGATATTAACCACAGTGGGACAATCTAAGCTTTGCTGTGGAGGAAAGCTCTGGAAGACGAGGCAAAGGAAGGAGGAAGTTTACCAACTGAAGGATGACAGGAAAAAATACGAATGTGACTCAGCAAGGAGCGGACTGATGTCACCGTGACGTTGGCCTACGTGAATGCAGTCCAGAAAAGAACAGCTTTGGGGGATGCTTCGTCACTTGTTTATATTGGCAGGTTAGGCATTGAGTGGAATTTTTCTCATGTTGAAGTTTGTTATTCTTAATTACATACTTCTGTTTGGAAATGATTTATCTATTCAAAACAGGAAAGACGGAAAACGAGCGAAGGCAATCAACCCAAAAGGAAAATATCAAAAAAGAAACCAATATAGCTGAAGAGATTGCAATATAAACAACGGTATATTGTCAAAGTCTCTGGACATGACAGCACCAAGTTAGAACTTGGTGCGGACGGCTAGCTAACTGGCGCCAGTAATTAAACAGTAGTATGTTCCTTTTACAAACGCAAACACAATATCGGCATAATTGCGATTTCGGATGCTGTCATTCTAGGAGGCTTGAGGGTTTTTCTGTCCATTATGCTCCACTCACTTCATCACTCTTTTTTGTCTAATAAAAAGGTTCGCTGAAAGCCCGCGGTTGATTACAGGCGGGCACGCACATGCAGTTGAAGGTTGTAATAAATAAGAACCAGGGAGATAATCACAGTAATAAAAAATACCTGATAGAGCAGGAATATCGTCAGGTAAATACGAGGTATCAACCTGGCTGTTCTGCCGACCAAGCGATAGAAACCTACCAATAAATAATCATTGGTCGCTAATGGGGACGGATGGCGTTTTCCTCGCTGCTATAAAAGGGTTGGCTGCTTTACGACCCGCGCAATGCAATACACGCTGCGCACGTGATCCCATCCTGAAAGCAGTTTCAATATAAACGAGTGTCAGTTGGAGATGAAATATTTCTGGAGGGAGACGGAAGTGTGAGGTGGCGTTTGCGTGAGTTGATGGGGTTGATGGCCTAGACGTGCCGTAAGAATTACCGCAGTGCCACAACGCTTGTGTGCAGAAAGTACGCGCGCGCTGTCAAAATACGCACGCGCATCAACAAAGGTCCCCTGCTAATTTGGTAAGAACCAACCAAATCCTTTGTTGCAATAAAACCATATTACCCATATCGGTTTCGAAACTCCTGATCAGTTCTTCTTCAAGTTTATGATCAAGTCCGCACATTTTAACCAACTTCAATCTTCTACTGCAAGCGATCTGGCGGCAGGGCCTTTGCTTGATTAAGTTCAAACTGACGTGATAGATTCTTAATTTACAGACCAACACAGTGTGTACAATGTGGGTACGGGTCAGAAAAACCATACCGTGCCCGAACTAGCTTCCTGGCTCCCTGGACAGCAATATTGGCGTCTGTCTCATCAATACTCATCACCACGCAGGAAGTCTTACACATCACACCGTCTACAGCGCACAAATCACCCACGACCCTTTGGCGCGAACCGCGATCTCCACTTCACAATGCTGCAACTTTTTTTCCCGCTTGTTTGGATTTTAATAAGTGAGCAATTTACGGGCGATTACAGTCTCTTATTTGCTTCATCTGTGACGCTCAAATTAAAATTTTTGGCCTCTACATAACGGTCGTATGGACGCTGACTAGAACTTTACAGAAGCCGCCTGGAGATTTTCATTAAAATGTCGCAGGATTGAATTCAATTATGGCTCAATTTTAATCCACAACCTGGGTCAATATAAACCCCATATTTTGGTAACCATGAGCAAGAAATTAAATCTAGCCACCCAATAAGGGTTGACACCCCCCCCATGTTAGGTATTTACAGATTTTAGCCTGACTTTGCGTAACATTTAACCAAGGCAATTTTACGGGTTTTTTTTCTGTAAATAGGAATACAGGAAACTACAGATCCCACAGGGTTGTCATTTCTTCTCTGAAGAATCGTAGCTGCATAATGTCAATCTCATTCTGAACCTCCGCACCACAGTATGTCGATATGAAGAAACCTCTGGATCCCAACAGATCTAAAGTTACCAAAACCAATTCGAAAATTCTGTTCGAGATGAAAAATACAAGAAGCGCAATTAACAGTCACTCCTTAATTCTACCTCGTGTCAGAATTCAAAGAAACGGTCTGCCCCAACATGGTTGAAAACTGATGAAAGACGCCGTAATGGTCCGTCCGTCCGTGAGGTGTTTGATGGACGACGGCAGCCAAACACGCCTGTAAGAGATGAAAACTGTACCATTCCCTAAGACTACACATAGGCGAGAAATGAGCTGCAGAATTCAACGAAGACATCTTCATAATCTTTATGCAAGTGGACTTGGCTATAACGCCCCTAGCACCTAAGGGGCCAATTTCATAGAGCTGCTTAAGCACAAAATTTGCTTAAGCGCGAAAACCCCTTGCTTCATAAATCAGTTAACCAGCCAAAATTCCATGTGATGCATATTGTTTTGGGGTTGTATTTAGCTGTCTTTCGGTTAGCATGACAATCAGAAAAAGTTTGAGCTGGTAAGCTTTGTTTATTAAGCAACTTTTTTCCAGCTTAGGCAAATTTTGTACTTAAGCAGCTCTATGAAATTGGCCCGTACGGGTCTCTGACGTCACTAAGTCTTTCTCTTGCTGCGACAAGTGATAATAACAGTTTGCATGCCAACCGTGCACTTGATGTTGTAAACCTGTAGTCATACGCCAAATCACAAATAGTTCCCTATATCACTTCGCATTAAGCAGCCCACGGCAAAACGCATTTACCATTTGTCCCAGAGAGCACACAAAGATTCTTTTCAAAAAAGAGTTATAAATGCATCGTCATCATCTGGGAGAAAACGCAGATGGTCTCCATTTGTCATCCTTTTCGCTCTTTCACACTTACAACTTGAACTTTCGACTCAGAAATGACACCCGGGGACGATTTATTTGCTGTGCCAGGAAGGCCAAATTGTCATTTTAAGCGGGGAGAAAAGAGAAAGGGAGCCGGAGAGCTCTTCAGATGAAATCTGATATTTAGATTAAAATTCCCCTGAAATGTAGGCTCTCTGCTTTTATTAAAATGCGCGGCAAACATAGACCGTCCAGTGAAAAAAAATTAGAAGTGGCACATATAATCGACGACGGTAGAAAATTTAATGGGACTGCATTGGCCCCATATTTGCGTTGAGCTCTACCCTGCTGGCTTATTTACAACTGTTCTCCAATGTCTCATTAAAGAACGCTTTCACAATTATCTGTCTGGTGCATCAAACCACTCGTTTTGTCTTTTCTTTCGGTTTGACTATTTGCAGCCGTTCCCGATTTGACGACTCATCAGGGACAAAGGTGGATATCCGTCAAAACCCATCTGTCCTGGCGCTGGCAAAGCCAATGCAGGTCTAAAAACTGATTGCCAAAATGACCTGCCCAGTAAAACCAAGGCGTGAAGCCTAGGGGAAAAAATCGATTCGCTTTGAATCAGCTGTTGCAGGAATAATTCGAACAGTCAGGGTCGCAAGGACAAACGCGACAGTGCGCTCTGACCGGAGTTGTAGCCTCACGGGTAAATGACAGTCCATAACCAAGATCGCGGCTTGTTTTCTGAGATTTCATTGGTTGCCATGATGATAGTTCTTCCTTCTTGCTGTCTGATTGGCCTATTTATGCGTGAGGCGCCTATTGGGTATGCAGTACTATACGAATACTATACGAGAACGAACTAGGCAACAGTCATCTAAAATATTAGCATATTGGATAATTTAAAGTGGGGCCGAAAATGAATAAGGCGACCTTCACTTTTGAGTAATGTGGCTGCAAGTTGCCGACAGGAAAACAAGTCTAACAATAATACCTAAAATTACATTTCCTTCAAGGTTTTATTATTTCTGCTCTTTGTAAAAATTGGTATGATTTTTATCTCTACGTTTGTTGGAATTCAGTACAACCAAATATTTACCCAAATGGAAGATTTGGTGTTGAGATATTCAAGTTTTTAAGTTGACTCAGTGTTACACGAGAACAGTGTCGCACGTCTGTATCTGTTTGCTGGAGTAAAATGCCTGGTTAGAATACCCAGCAGTCTGCGACAGAAACTAGAACACGTTCTATTTAATGCCTACGCATGGCACTCCAGCGGAGACAAATCAGTTCCTTCCCGAGAGTTCTTGCACACACCAAATAAACTGAAGTCAATATTGGACACACTTGCCTTCAAAGTAAGGAGCACCAGCATATTTACAGTTAGCTAACGCACACCTTGTACAATAAGGAAAAGTGAATATAAACATTACTCCAACCGAGGGACAAATTACATTTGAAACTTTCCTCCAAATACAGAAAATCCCAATAACCTTTGGAGGAAATTTAAGACAATGAAGGTCCTTTGGAGAGATAGGGAGAAGTTAATAGAGATTCAGTATGAACATGGAAGTCAAAACACAATACTTCTGGCAAAATGTCAGTGAAGTAGGCAGTCATATAAGGTTTCAATGCTTCTTTCTTTCTGCCAAATACTGGTTGTGTAAAGCCAATTTAATCAGCCACTGCCATTACAAAAACCTACTCTTTAGACTGGGGCTAATTTAATTAGCCAAGGTATTGCTCATTTTTACATCATCTCTAAAAGTTGACTTACGGGCTCCTTTCCACAAAGCTGACGTTTTTGTGGTAGTTTGCCAACTTCAACAGCCCAGTGTTTTTTTTTCTCAAAAGCCTTTCTTTTCTTCCACGCCTTGCAAGCTCCACTCCGCCCTCCACTCGTCGGGCCCTAGCAATGACTGACCTATGACCCAGCCAGCCATCTCCAGCTCAGCGATGAATTGAGGGAAGAGGTTGTCGCTGATCAGGCTGGAGAGCCTGACCAGCTTCCCAGCAGTCATCTGGGGTCATGCGACTTCCTGTCAGACGGACAATTCCGAATCAACAGCAAGAATTTATTGAATTATTATCAAATTATATTGTCACACCTCAACTGAAAGGAATATGTTTTTGCAATTTATTTTTATCAATGGTTTTCCACACATTAAATGATCCTCAAAAAGACAAAACCTCTATGCATAAGTGATAACCTTAGTAACCTTACATGAAAACAGATCTCGGTCAACTTTTCGGTACAAATTCAGATACTGAAAGTATAATTTTTAAGATCATGTTCATCACGTTTATTATGCACTGACAGGATGGAGAGCAAACGCACAAGTTATTTCCTGACGCTATAAAATAAATTGTCAAATATTTTCTGGTATTTTCCTAATTTTTCTTGATGCTCAATGTGAGAAGGGTCTTACATTTTAATCTTTGTGGTTGGTACTCACCCTTGGCAAGAAGTTCCCTTATTTCTTGATAAAAGACTGGCTTGACCCCAATGGGATCTGACCTCTGTGAATAAATCAAACATGAAACGATTTAGAATAAATGGGGGGGTAGACAGGGAAGCAAGACAACGATGAGAATGATGGTAAGGGTTATGGAAGATATCGTGATGGTGAAGATGGGTGGAGATGGTGAGATGAAGATGGCGGTGGTGACACCTAATGAGGTGAAGGCGGTGATAAGTGCATCAATGGTGAGGATTGAGATGATGGTGAGATGTGATGGCAGCGGTGGCACCTCATGAGATGAAGGCGTTGATAATGGCAGTAAAGGAAATGATTGAGGTGATAATGGTGAGATGCTGTTGACTGTGGGGGTTAAGGTGGTGATAATAACAGCAGGGTGGCCAAGAAAGATGACAGTGAATGTTATAATGGTAATGATACACATGTCATACTACTGACGTAGACACCAACAATGATAGTCTGTAGGTATGTCGACCTATCCCGAAGAAGATAGAAGATGTAACAATTCTGACTGATATCTAGATCATTCAAAATCAGTCTGGTCTCATCCAGCGCTTACCCGACTTTCTGTCCATGCATGCTTCTGTGCGTGTTGCATTACCTCAGCCTGGAAGCAGGCCTTGATGACATCATCTGCGGTACAATCCCTATGGAGCACCACGTTGATAGACCCTGGGCAAACAGAAAGTGTACCTATTTGAGTATATTCTACCAAGTTGGATTAGATCTCAAACCAGCAGCCCTGAAAATGGAAATGAGAACTCGTGAAATGGGAGTGCAACTCTAAGAAACTAGTAATTCTTTTAATGCCAAGAAATTATTTCTTTTTATATCTTGGGACGAGTAGACTTTTATTTGGAATGAAAATTTCAAGAAAAAACTTGTCAATTTTAATCCCTTCTTTTGAAGGATGGTTACCTGTTTTTCTGCTTAGGCCCGCCAGGAATTTCTGGCTCCTGTTGCTGTGGAGACATTTTTCCATGTCAGGCAAGCTGTTACAACAAAGAATTGGAATTGCTCTTATGCGGTGCTGAAAGAGGGCGCTGTTCACAGGCCAAGAAGTAGCGAGGGCACCACCCTCCCTTTATACATGTGTTTTGGTTGTTTTTTTTCTTGGTTCCCTTTGATATTTATGATCCAATCTTAATCCGGTTCGTAAGTGACTTTGTCACAAAGGCGGACATGCCACGATTTGCAGGCTCTCATTGGACAATCGCTGACGGTGCACGTTAACTTCCGGTTCCATGGCTCCACGTAAATGGCGATCAATGCATGTAACCCTATTTGCAGTGCATGTGTGCAGTGGGCGTGGTTTAAACTGAAGTGACGTCACACTTACGAACCGGATGGGTTGAGAACTAAGTTGGGTGACCTTCAGTAACTGTGGGCCACTGGCTTGTTTTCTGCCAGTAAAGTTGATACAAAATGGTGACTGCAGGAATGATATGTGACCGGCTCTGCAAAAAAGGGTAATAAGTCGCGCAATGCCAAAACATGTTTATAGGCTGTTCTATTTGGAGAGGGCAAAATTTTTTCAAAAATGTGATTTTGTGTTTTTTTCTTTCATAGCTTCTATAAGATTTATATTTTCAGAATTTGTGACTACAAACATGGATACTGATGAATAAAGATGAAAGATTGATCATTCAGTAGGACATCCTGCATAGCATTGTGTTTCTAAACACTACGTTTTAGGAGCTTTTTCTCGAAAAGTGCTTTTATTGAATCTGAAAGTATGGATATACAAATGTCTATATATCTCTGGAACGCAGCACACTGCAGGGGTCATTCATGTATCAAATTGTAGCTTTTGATGTACATAATCCAGCCATATCAAAAATTCATAACCTGAATCTAATGACTTATTACCCATTTGTCTAGAGCCGGTCACATATCTTTTCAAACCGGTATCAAAAGTTCCACAGACACAGAAGTAAAGATTTGGCAAAGTGAGGAAAAGCTCTGCTGTGCTTCACACCAGGATCCACACAGTACACAGTGAGGGACTACTGACTTCTAGTTTGGCGCTGCATCTTCCAGGAAACAACCCAATTATTATCAAGTGTTAAACTGTACCTTTTAACAAGTTGACCGAATTGAGCACCCAAGTTGACTTTCAGAGGCCGATAAAGTTCTGTGGAAGAGGTTGAAAATTAAGTCCAAAAATTCGAGATTTGAAAACACAGCATGTCTTCAACCTAGATGTTCAGGACTATGACACATATGAACTCTAAATGCCCATTCAAAAAAACTACAGTACATATGGCCGAGATCAAATTAGCAAGCGTAAACCAGGAGAGACAACAAAGCTAAAACGCTGAAGTTCTTTTAACAATGGATTGATGATACTGACCATCAATCTTGATATAACTCTTTCAATAAAAACTGCACCAACATACAAATTGTTTTTATATGTACACTGCCCTTGGAAAGATATCCCGCAATATGTGGCTCATTTAATACACAGGATTAGTCAGTCTTATTCAACTGAGAATCATGAACTTACTCCATACAACCGGTTCTTGTGCATTCGCAGCGGCAGGGCTTATAATGTGACCGTCCACGGAACTAAGGTATTCCTGACTGATGATGTGTAACCGAGCTTGATTCAGTGTTTCCATGACAACACAGGTGACTGCGCGGTAATTGGAGTAGAGGTGCAGGAACGTGAAGAGGAAAAAGAGAGACCATGTCAACCTGGATCGAGGAGAAGAAAGAAAATGAAGTAATTCTTCCTTTTGGGGGGATGCATTTTGAAATTCATTGAATTTCTTTTTATAATATATATCATTTGAATGCATTTTCCTAAAACAATACAGCCAAGCCCAAAACCTACCATTCCAAATTCTAGTAACATAAAATGTTACAGCCAAGACCACAGAAATGTCAACCAAAGGCTTCGATCTTTGCCCAGATGAGCTTTTGCAGAGGAACTACTAATTTTTGTTGTGCCTGGGTCGACCATCAGTCCAGTTCAAATATTTTAACGAAATAGCAAACTGCCACATTTTACAAAGGGTAAGAATAATTTTGGGCTTACCTGTATATGTGACCCAACCCTACACAATAAGTCCCAAGTCATCAGAGCTAGATTTGGGTTTTTAACGGCCCTTTAAAGAATCTTTCCAAATGTAAATCAATAGGAATCATCAACAGTTGTCACGCATGCCACATCCATTTTCATCAGAACTCCAAATCGAGTGATAAATTAATAAGAACTCAGGTGGCACTTTCTGATGCAGACAAAATTGGAATAACTGGAAAAATGGTCAACTGATTGATTCTTGTGAAATGAAGTCCCACTTCGGAACTCTCCCTGGTCTAATAAAACCACAGGTGCATTGTCTGGACCAAATCCAGTCTTCTCTACAGTAACATTGCCAAGATCCTGTAGCTCTTAATCTACGAAAATCAAACAAAATCGAACGTTGGATTTGGGAGGATTTGTAAGGGTCGGACTTACTAATGACAGAATATTTGGCAAATTTCAGCAAACTTCTGCCTTACTGCAGGACATGTATTGTGATGATGGTAAAGTGGCCTCCTCTCTTCGAGTTAAATTCTTGGCACACTGCTACGGCAAGTTTCTCAAACTTCAGTATTTCACAAGGTTAGCAACTTTCGCAGGTACGCTGTAAACTGAACAACACAATGGCTTACGTTGGGTTACCAGCCACCATAGGAGTAAGGACCAGGCCAACCAATAACGCTGCCAGATTGACCAGTGTCTCCTATATCAAAAGAATATGCCAATAAAGATTACAATTCTATCATTGCTATGGTTACTAAAAAGAAAAGTGGAAACAGAAGACTGATTTTTTTATTTCTTGGTTTGGACGACTTCTTTTTGGGGGGGGAGGGGGAGTGGTAAATTGAAAGTGAAAGGACAGGTCTTTCATTTTTAAAGCAATTTTATTTTTTGTTTCCACAGCAACTATCTAGTGTAAGTGAAAAGCACAGCAATGGCACCAATTGTTGGACTAGAACTGAAAAGAAAAGATCAAAGACAGAACTTCTGGAAAGACCTACGGCATTGCAACCCGTTATGTTGCACAAAATCCCCTCACAACTTAGGGATTTGAGAGAAAAGAATTTGAATCTAATTAGGGGTGTCCTCAGGGAAAAACTGCTTAACATCTGAACCAACCTGACTTCCGTCTTTGGCGCTTACGTCAGCCATGTTTTCTCTCCTGGCTTGATGCATGGTCAGTGCCGCCCTCGTTGCTCCTCCGGCCACGCCTACAATAGACTACCCCAAGAGAAATAAAACAAAATCAAAGATTGCAAACAGGACACACTGTTGTTGAACTAATGACTTCTTGATGTCTCTCAGAACTTCCTTCTTTAAAGCACGGATAATAACCTTACAAACTCCAGAGATGCACGCAATGGCAGTGAAGTACTTCGGAAATAAGGGTGACACCAGCTCTATGCAGATAGCAGCATCATTCAGGATGTCGGCAAATAACCTGCACAGGAAACAAAATACTGAAAACTGACTGCTAATCAGATTTCTATACAACAACTGGTGATTTTGCTATTTGTTTGACAACTGAAATAAAACATTTGCTCCACAACATTAAAAACTCATTTAATTGTAAATCATTTACAAACTCTAGCGATACTAACAGCATTTTGTGAGAATTCAATAAAGGTTTTAGACACTTGGGATAAACAGAGTGAACGAAAGGAAACAGACAACGATCCTACCTCCATCTTTTAGCATCACAGTCGAGACTTGACCTAGGTTGAAAGAAACAGAAATGACAATTGTACTGAGGGCTGATCTCACTTTAAAGCCAACAGTTCTGAGTTTACTGTACGCTCAATAAGAATGGCTACAGTTTAGCAAAACTTATGTTTCCAACATTTTCTAAAACTGCATAAAAATTCTATGTCAATTACTTTGAACTCCTTTGATATTTCATTGTGAGACGGTGTGACAAGGAACACTCCAATATGGGCATTTCACAACAGTGCGCCTCCAAGAGTTTGCAATGCATTGACCAATCACAGTGTGCGTTTGGAAAGGTTCAACGGATTTCGCGCGAAGTGATTGGCCAACGCATTGCAAACTGTTGGAGGCAGGTGCACTATTGTCAATCGCCCATATTGTGGATGGATATCAAACTCACCCCTGGTACCATGCAAAGAGAATTCTGCCACACATTCCAGTGCCGTCTGAAAGACAAACACAGATGTTTAGAGTCCATCCGTCATTCACTGCTTCTCTCTCTGTGTCTATTGTGTTTGCACCAAGGACTTGTTGCATTTTGTGGGTAGTTTTCTTGGCTAGCTGGTGTTGTTAGTGAACTAGCAGGTCCTTTGAGGAGCTGCTCAAGCTAGGGCTGGGCTAGGTTGGTATGGGTTGGACTATGCTGGGCTTGAATTGAGTGGAGTTGGACTCAGTTGGGCTGGGCTTAAAGGGAATGGATAGTTGGACTCAATTGGGCCAAGCTGTCTGGTCTGGCTGGTTTGAGCCTGGCTGGGTTTTGCTGAAATGAGCTGCGTTGAGCTGAGTTAAGCTGGATTGAGTTGGGCTAAGTTCAGTTGGGCTGGGTTATAATTAGTTGGGTTAGATGGGGTTAGGTTAGGCTTTTTGGCTTGACTGGGTTTGGCGGAAGGACTACACTCGGGTTGGATTTCGATAAAACAAAGACAGGTCTGGTTGGTTTGAAATGAGTCTACGATGCTTCCATTGCAACTGACCCCTTATCAACGATTGCTTCCAAATCCAAAGAGCCACTATGGAGACTACATATCTTTTGCCCATTTCAGAAAGACACATGAGATTGAAGGCATCAGATCCTATGGACCTTGGGACTTTGCCGTTCAGTCCTACCTTTCAACAGCCAGGTTATGGTTGCTGCTGCTGCTGTGGCCGTTGAATCACCCACGCCTACTCCCTTCAGCATGGCCTGGGTTGCCAGGGTACCGGTGATACTACTACAGAAAGCCTGCACATCAAGAGAAAAAAGTTTGCTTTTGAAAGTAATAAGGAACATCTAATCAAAAGTGCGACAGAAATGAAAACAAAAGGCTGTAGATGAAAGTTTTTCTTACTTGAATCGTGTCCCATATCTGATACTCCAAATAATCTTCACTGACACTCTCTGGGTAGCCTTGGGGCAGAAACACCGTCTGAAAAGATATTCAAGTTGCATTTTATAGGTAAAATAAAAACTAAGAATCGGACATTAGCTCTTAACACATCCCAGACTGACTGTGAAAGAGTTGGATGAATTTCAACTAGGCTTCCCCTCAAATCTAAATGTAGAAGAGTCAAGATGCCTCCATGCAGCCAGGCCTAAAAGCAATCATGCAGATCACACTCGCAAAGCCATCAGCTGTTGGTTTTTTTTTTTTACTCCAAGAACTTTGGTTCTTCTGCCTCAGCCTCTCCGAGCTTAGAGTGACAGGGCAAATAGCCCTGCAATCCGCTACATAATTGTGATGTTGCTTCAGTTCAAACCACGCCGTCTGCACATAGTGCTACATGGAACCATTGAACCGGAGGTTAACAATCAACTTAAGTGGTCATCCAATGGAAGCTGGCAATCGTGATGCATGCGCATGTATGACAATGTCACTTATGAACCTAGTAGAGACGTCAAAAGTTTAAGAGGAAGTTTAATTCCACCGAAATCGCTTATAGTACCATTTGAAGGATAGTGGTTTATGAAGAAACTAATAAGTAAATACAAGAGTAGGTCGATAGCGAAGTTCTCTAACATGGCACATTTTGACATTTACCCTAACTTTCCTTAATTTTGGTGTCATGAAATTTAGTCAGAAATTCAAAAATGGTGGTGTTCCCTAACGTGGCCATGCATGGCACACTAAACAAATCCTTAACAAATCTCAGTAAATCCCGTATTGTCATTGAAGAAGTTCTTCAAAGTTGATAAGTTTCAGTACATTATCATGACCTACACTAACATACCCAACAAGTTTTTCTTATTTTCCAGTACATTCCAGACTTCGTTTGCACTTGAAAAAGAATTGGAAAATCTGGCCAAAATAATTTCACTGGAACTTTGTAGTGAACCGGAATAGACCTAGTATTGAGTGAAATTTAAGGTAAAAAAATTGCCCTGGCAAGGCACTAACATTAGAGACAGAAAATCAAAGTGCACAATGTCTGGGCACATGAACAATGTAGTTTTACGCTAAATATCCTATGCTCAGCTTTGATCTCTGTCTACATCCTACTCCAAGGCCTTTTTGGTATGGGCCTACTTAGGAGAAAATTTGTTAGGCAAATAAATTCGTGGATTTTTACCCTAAACATTTGAGCAAGTGAAACAAATGCTCGATTTCCACCCCTGTCAGAAGAAATTTCAATAGATCCATCACTCCTCCCAAGGTACCTCAGGGGACGGGACCGAGAACTATAAGATTCTCTGCAAACAATATTATCCATCTTCATCGCACGATCTACATCGGCGCTCCATCAACAGTGCAGTAAACAAAGCATGTGGCATGGGATGTAGCCGGTGCCGGTGATGTTGGCAGCAGACGTTTTCAGCGAAATCGCTGTTAGTTTTATCTGCCGCCCTCAAGCGTCAGCTTAAGCACAGCCCATGTGGAAGTATGGTACCCATTTTTTACCTGTCGAATTTGTATCGTTGTCTAAAAGAGAACCAAACTAAGATACTTATTCGTGTCCGATATCGTGACTTTCCCAATGCTAC